ACGGCGGTACCAACGGCGGAACGAACGGCGGTACCAACAGAGGAACCAACGGCGCAGGCATCAACGGCGGCGGCGCTGGTAATGGAAAGCCTTAGATGCTCTGCTGACCACGCAGCGCCTCTGATTGTCTTGCTGAATCGTCACCTGCGCCTCGTATCTAGTTGTCTGGTGAAGTGTCACCTGCGCCAAGTCTCTGATTGTTTTAAAAACTCGTCACCTCCGCTATGTTTTCAAAATTCGATTATGTCGCGTCACAAAAGTCCCGAATGCAGTCCGTGTACACTCTTCATGCATGTCAGAACATGTACAACTTGCCTGACGATTGTCTTTCTTGACTTGAGACGTCTTCGCCATGTTGTCCGATAGATTGGCAAGAGGAGACGTTGGTTGCAGTGGGGCAACACAAGACTGTAGAACGTACCCTAAGGACTGACTCTTTGCGCATACGCTGATCTCCCGACAGGTGCCCACGTGACAAAACCGCACTGTTCCGCTTCCTGCTCGCATTGAGGGAGTGCAGTCACCTCGGTACCTTCGGACAGATGAAGGCGTGATGTAGAGAGAGGGTCACTGCTGAGCGACCAGTGGGCAGCAGCAGAAAGTGATCCCGCTTGCCCTCTGGAAGTCAAGAAGCGCACATTGTCCCATGAGCCGTGGGTATGGACTCCCGAGGTGGATCTAGACTAAGCACAGGTGACAGCCGAAGAAGTTCGCACCCAGGTCGAGACCGTCTTCAACAAGAAAGACTAGCGGAGAGGAGAATGAGCGCGTTTGCTATCGACACTCGGAACGACCCAAGCGATCCCTCTGGTGGTGGCAACACTGGCTCTGGCTGAGCTAGTTCTGAAGCGAAAGGCCACGGCAGCGTCGGCGGCGAAAGCACTCGTCGGCAGAGCAGCGAACGCTTTGGTGATTCCAGCCATAGCTCTATCAGAGCGGGCACTAGCGGCAACACTGATCCTGGCGCTGAGCATTGGAGACCCTATGTATCACGTGTCTTCTCTACAGATCAATGAAATCGTCTCATGTCAGCCGCGCCGATTGTCTGTACATCCCTTCTCGCCAAGATGTCGGGGGATGACTCATCGCAACGCTTCGCAACGCAGGCTGTATGTCGCTTGCCTTCAGTGGCTGAACAATGATTCGCTGAATGAAAATTGACTGTTCTCGTTACACCCGTCCTTCTGCTGTGTAACCGATTCGCTCATAAAGCGATCAGCAATCGAAGAACTCCTCTCGCTGATAGCGAGGACCACGCGGAATTTGGGAGCGGTAGCTGGCTGGGTTGGTATGGCGGGCAGCAAGCGCCTAGTAGGCGAATCGAATCGCCGTATGCGCTCTGTGAAACTCTCACTGATGGATCAGTCCTGCTGAGCAGACCAACGAACGAGTCCCTCCTTGCTTGCTCGGTTAACAGGCGAATCTTAGAGAAGAGGAACAGTACTAGTGCAGTGACCGAGAGACCAAAGGACCGGCGTGACCAGCTTTTCGCGCATGCAGCAGCACCATTGCATGATTTCCTCGCGATACCCGATGAGCCTGAAGCTCTGTCCTGTACTGCTTCAGTGGCAGATCGGTATGCAGATGGACCCGCAGACGAGCTCACTCAGCTCACACTCGCGCACTGCAGCTTCCCGCTGATCGCTTTGGTTTGGCGGAACGCATACGCCGAGGCGGGAAGCGGACAATCACCCAGAAAGTATGTCGCTGCTGAGCGACGAGGGATGACGACGCTCGGTTCAAGCCGAGGGACCCTCCTCTTCGCAACTTTTCGCGACAAGCGCACCTATTTCCGGTAGACTTGGCGGATCCTCAGCATTGTTACCTCACTTGACCTCGAGGTGAGCTCATTCTTGCACACTACTAAGGGTCTGCCTCAGCTCGGCTGAGCGTTCTACCGAGACGATTTGCGGCTCCGACGGGGTGAGCAAGCCTCTACGCGAGAGGGTCGCGGAAATGCTTCGCTTCTGTCATGCGGAGAAAGTCGCAGAGAAATTCCCGCCGGAATCCCTTAGGCCCGACGGTTCCATGATCGATTCTCCAGAAGATGTGGTAATTCGGCTAATGGCTCGCCTTTTGCGCCTTGCACCGGGTGCAACCCATGAATGTTTGTTTGCAATGACGAACATCGCCTCTGAGCTCGCTTGCGCAGGGGCCAAGCCATACTTAGACTACTGCCCTCGTGCGCCTGCCCCGCCTTTACGGAGACCAATTTAACCCCGCTATCTTTCCTTGCCTCGACTCCGATCGCTTAATCTGCAGAGCCCGCTGGTCCGTCGCTCTCATTCCATCGCTCTCCCTCAAAGAAGGTTCGATCCTGCCTTCGCTAGCTAAAGCAGCCTATACTACGCACCTTTACGCAAAGCGCTAGCTTCGCGATCGAACGACCTCCTCAGCTATCATCTTTCCTTTCGCTTATGGCAGTCGAAACCTTCAGCTGCAAGCTCCCCAGTGGTTCAGGTTCTGGAAGACTCGGTTGAATCACCATGATTCCGCCAAGGGAATCTCGCTTCAATGGTCGAATGTAGCCTCGTGCTCGGTCATGGCGGTCCGAGATCATGGGTGCTACCTGGAAGCGATGATTGTGATACTCTTGCTTTGGAGAAAGCCAACCCATCGTCGCGCGGCGTCAGCAAGCAATTCCGCACCCTACCGACTGGGGATTGGCAGGCAGCTGTAGAGGGAGGGCTAGGAGAACCGCACGATCGCGTTGACGGCCTTTCAGTATACCCAAGACTTGCCAGAAGGATGACGGCAGTCAGCACAGGATCAGTGTGCGAGGCAATGCGGATTCAATCGTCCACTCGGTTGCATGTACTCGATCGAGAGTATGCAGGCAAAGAAGGGCGCGTGTGAATGCCAGCATCCTGCGAGAACTCTCCTTTGGAGAACGTAGACCACGACAGTGAGTGTGTTGCCTTCACCTTCACGGACCCTTGGTGTGCTCATAGGGACTCGTAGTATCAAAGCATGGAACCTGAGACCGAGAGGTACATAAGAGGACGGTTGAGGGACATACTCACCCTCCCAGATTTCCTCAACCCGCCCAACATCTTCTGCCTCCTCCGGCAACCTCCTCCGCCCTGCACTACTCTGCAGCAACATGAAGTTGCCTCTCATCACACCCGCCCTGGTCGCCGTGGCTCTGACCTTGGCCTCGACCTCAGCCAGGCCCGTCGACACGGATGCCCTTGAGGCCAGGTCCGACCTCAGCCCTCGAGGTGGCGTCGAAGCCGGTATCGCAGTGGACTGGCAGCCTGACGGAAAGCCTGATGACAAGCCAAAAGAGCCTGAGTGGAATCCCACTCCTTGGAAGCCCACTGACAAGCCGAAGGAGCCTTGGAAGCCCGAGTCTTGGAAGCCAGAGGAGCCCAAATGGACACCTACTTCGAAGCCTTGGAA